CGCTGATCTCGTTTCACGTTAGAGCTGTTTCAAAGAAGCATCAGATTCCTTCGAGAAACGCATTTTGATAGGATGACGTGGCATCAATCTGGTTTCAGTTCCCCGCGTTGCAGCGTATGTTTCAATTTGAAACAGAAAATAATCGTCGTTAAAAAGAATAGTATTTATTCTTCCGAGCCTTTAACATGACAGTGTGTATAAGTGGATGATAATTACACTGAACACGCCTGTGAATCGTGCTCGTTACTCTCGTTGCTCGTTTTTATGATATTGTTGCATAAATTAAACGGTATATGAAGCATCTCAGATTCATGGATAACAAACGCCTGAAACTGCTGCAAGTTTCTTTCCTGTTACGAACGATAGCTATTTTAGTTTCCCACCGCGTCACAATAAACGTCTGCGGTAATCGTCTGCGGTAACTCGTATAATTGTTAATCCGAGAAGATCGCGCTTGAAAAGGGCGTAATTATGTGAGATCCGTCAGAGAGAAAGGCGCTTATGCCATGCTGCACTTGTGTACACTGTGTGCTCGATTGCTGAAAAATTTTGAATGACAAGGCGGTATGACTGACCAATTGATATTGTGTCATCAGCAATTTGCGTGTCATTTACCTTCGTATATAAAAGAAAACTGACGTTTTCTTCATTAGTTTTTACACAGCGTGCTCGGTTATATACGGAAATAATATCTAATTTAAGTTTTAATGATGATTGATCAATTTAAAGAGATCGCCTTTTTTTAACTAAAACATTGAAATGCGTTAAACTATAAGCGATCAGAAATAAAATATTTGCGAACTCTAAATGATTTCAGAATGTCAAGTTTGAAGCGATATAATATTTAGTATTTTAATTATTTAATAAAATATAATTATTCAATAATATGTGTATCAATAAATATAAACATTCTAATATTAGATTAAAGGGCTCTCAAAATTCAAACAACAAAGTAATTAAATAGGGTCAATAAAAGCAATAATTCGGCGTGATAATTAATACATTATTTAATATAATAATATTTTAGTGTAATTATATCAAATATATTCATTGTTGTGACAAACCCTGGCAGTTTGTATCTATATTTAATGTAATTACACTAATATTTTATTAATAGCACACTATAAGTTACCGCGCAGAATTATTGCTCTTAATTATTGCTCCCCTTTAATTACTTCATTCAATAAATATATAAATTTAATTAATAAAATTTAAGACAGAGAGAGGAAAGATTAAATATAGCAAGATAAATCTTATTGAAATTTACATTCGCGGAGATTTTATTTCAATATTTTAATTCAAGATTTAAAAATAAACGATATGACTTGTAACGAATATTAAAACGTCATGCTTTTATAAAAGCGATAAGATTCGTTAACGTCGATATCTGTATTGGATTTTTTTTCATATAATTTTTATGACATCATTAATTATTCGTTTATCGAGTTACACGATGTTTGGATGGTTATTATCAATTATCGCGTTAGTTATGTAAGATGCTGCGTATGTTCTAGTACTACGGTTTGCCACTGTGAGAAGAATGCGAAAAAGTCTTTATCTAAGAAATCCTCACGATGTCGCTTTTTTTGCGATAAACAGTCGCGTGCTGAGTCAAGCCTTTACCTGCTAGCATTATAATGTGAACGAAACGGAAACGCGATATACGCAAATAATATGGATGATAATTTCGAATCTCTCCTCTCTAAATCATTTATCAAAATCACCGATAAATTCGTCAACGGTGTTCAAATTATCCGATAGCAACAGTATTAATAACAATTATTTTAAATATTACATATTAAAAATTGCTTCTTGCTGATACTGCGAGAATTTATAATTAATATCTTTCGACTTTTTCATGTTCAGTAATAAAATTAAATCTTTTTTACTTTTATTTTTTGTGCAGATTTAATGAAATTTTTGTTAAATAAGAAAGAGAAAGATTATGTTAAGCTAAATGGCACTATTTGCAGGTCTTACATGACTGCGCGAAAGCACGGCGAGAAGTTGAGCTTCATTGGAGAGCATCAAATTGCAGGCACATAGTTCAAGTTAAGGATGTGTATGAAAATTCCTACAGCGGCAACAAATGTCTGCTGGTTATCATGGAATGGTACGTACAAGAAAACGTAATATTTTTTAATTCAGCGTGACGTCATTTATCACGAGCATGATTCTTCAGATTTATATTTAACTCTCCTTTTTTTGTTTCAGTATGGAAGGCGGAGAGCTGTTTCAAAGGATACAAGATAGGCAAGACGGCGCTTTTACCGAAAGAGGTATATAGCTTCAGCATTCGCAGTCAAATTTTTCTATTTTTAGAAAACTTACATAAACTTTATCGTACGTTTCTTTACAGAGGCTGCGCAAGTGATGTACGAGATCTGTGTCGCGGTAAAGCATTTACACGACATGAATATCACTCACAGGGATCTAAAGCCTGAGAATCTTTTATATTCTAAACCTGGTAAGAGAACGAGTTACATATGTCTCAAAATGTTTATTTGTTTTTCTATAAGGCGTGACAACTTGAAATTATTATCACTCCATAACATTTTACGTGTTAAAGAGTTAATCGTGTATTATCGCAGACCTTGAAATCATAGTTGTGAAGATTACGATAATTTTTATCTATATGAACATCGCAGTGCCTGTAATATCATAACACGCGCGAATGCAATATATAAATAAATTATATATTGTTATTGTTAGTTTTGCAATCTTGCATTTTTAGTAGCATGCTATTAGTATGCGAATAGAATAATAAGATTTATGTTTTTATTTATTTCCAGACATCACTGGAATCCTGAAACTCACCGACTTTGGATTTGCTAAAGAAACACATTTAAAAGACACATTACAGACACCATGTTACACACCTTATTATGTCGGTAAGTTTCTGCGCTTCTTTTATGTGAGTACATATGCATATAGTTGAAACTAAAATTATTATATGATCCATTATTTTATTTTATTCTTAGCCCCGGAAGTTTTGGGACCAGAAAAATATGACAAGAGCTGTGATATTTGGTCATTGGGAGTAATTATGTACATATTGTAAGAAATTATTCCATATATATCTTCAAGTTATTTTATACTAATACTAATAATTAATTTTTTCTGCTATATATAATATAGAGCATTCTCAAAAATCCTTCATGATTCTCGTTATTTTGAATTATAATGAATTATAATTAAAGTTATACATTAAAATAATATATTCGTGATATTAATTATCATTATTTCTAGATTGTGCGGTTTTCCACCATTCTACAGTAATCATGGACTGGCAATCTCGCCAGGAATGAAAAAGAGGATTCGATTAGGACAATACGACTTTCCAAGTCCGGAATGGTCAAATGTAAGCCAAGAAGCTAAGAACCTTATTAAGGGTATGCTGTGTATAGATCCAGCGGAAAGGTTGCAGATCGACGCTGTGATGCGTAACAATTGGATTGCTGTAAGAATATATATAAGATGCTAGCTAGCGTGAATTTTCTCCGTAACATATCTTTTCTAAAACTGTGTTTCTTACAGAAATATATGGAAGTACCCGCTACTCCCTTACATACTGGACGCGTTCTGCGCGAGGGAGAGGAAATGTGGCCTGAAGTGCAAGAGGAGATGACGCGGTCATTGGCGACAATGCGCGTCGATTACGACACGGCGTGTCTGAAGCAGCTCGATCATACGAATAATCCCTTGTTGAATAAACGGAGGCGCGCGAAACAGTCCGCCAACAACGCGACAGTTCCTGCAACGCCCGCCAGCCCCACGGCAGCCTCCTAGGAAGAGGACACTGTCAGAACCAGAAACTGGTTCTGGACGAAACTGGACATTTTTTCTGCGTCAGATACAGCGTGATCACAACGAAGATCGTTCTCTGACTGCTGCATTTCACGAAGCAAAAGAAATTCCGAATTAGAATAGTATTGAAGGGCACCTAGATCACATATGTTATATTCTGTCGCACGATTTACTATCAGTGTTCGATTATTTAGATGTGAGATCAATTTTATTAGAGCTGTAACAATAATGTAACGAGGACAATATTGCCCCAACGAATGCAAGTAAGTGATATTTATTAAATTGTCGAACGACATCACAGTTTTTCTCAAATTGCAAAATTTTAAAATATATACGCTACATTAATTATTATAAAATTGAGTAACCACTTGTGTGGAATGGTAAACGTTTTTAATATTAAGCATTAATGTTACACGTTTGTCATCAGTTCAATTTCCGTCGGACCTAATAATTGTCATTGTTTGAATATGATAATTTTTAGAGGCACTATATAAATAGGAGTAGGCGATCGAGGTAAACGATACTGCTGAACGTGTCTTTTAACAAACTCTAAACGTAATAGATCATATTGGAATAATAATGATATTTAAAATCTACATTTAATAACGAAATCTAAGAGAAAATTGTTTTTCTCAATAAAACCTTATTGCTGTTACACTCTAGAAGAAAAAATATAAAGTCATAAATTGTTATCTCGAAAAAAAATCGAGAGATATATTAGACTTCCAAAAGTCTGAGTTCATCAACTGAGTCGATTTTAGGGCCGATAAGTAGTAACTGGCTTTTGCTATCTTATATTATTTATTTAAATATATGAAATAAAATTATTATAATGTTGAGCCAGTAATCATTCTTATATTCTGTACACATATATCTTAAAATAGGCGCCGACAAAAAAATTGTTTGATCGGGATTATTATACATATAATCTCCATGCAAATATAAATATAATGAAAGACTACTTATCCGTAGGCTATTAAGACTAACTCTAGGAATAGTTGCTCATATCTTATTTTTTACAAAAATTATTTGTTGCCATTGGATGATCAGGTGTGCACTACGTTTCTATTTATATCATCGAATTTATAATGTATAATTATAATTTTTCACGTAATCGTCCGCTGCCCGTCCAGCCTGTTTTAAATATATGTATTAAATTTTTATAATTATTACCTTATTATCGATTCAATAAGATTTTTTTAAATCCTATTTTTACCACTGGTGTAATCAAGTATGTAATTTAGACATTAAGTTGGCGGCACACGATGCTTGTTTTCTTGCTGGATTGCTAGTTAGAATAAATTTTTGCCACCATATTGGTTACGATGCTGACATTGTCAGTACCATAGTCAATACGGCTATGGCAAGATTCTAATCCAGCTCGAAATCCAACAGGAAAACAAGCATCGTGTACCACAGGCTTTAGAAATCGGATTATTTGTGTTCTAATATACCTAATAATAATATGTTCGATATACCAAAGTCGTCTGAAAAGTTTTGAGCCTCAATATGTCATCAGTCGACGTCAGTGTTTTTGAAAAAATCGAATCTCGTGCCGTGATTAAATTCTTGCATTTGAAAGGCAAAACGCTTGCGCGAATTAAAGCCGAGTTGGACGCTGTTTATGGGGACTTTGCCCCACCATTTGCCATCGTGAAAAGATGAGCAGCTGAATTTAAACGTGGTCGTATCAGCTTGGCTGATGAGCGTTCGGGACAGCCAACAACTGCGGCCACTACCGATAACGTTGAAAAAATTCACGAAATCGTACTGAATGACTGTCGAATCAAAGTTAGAGAGATAGCAGAGCATATCGATAGAACGTGTTTATTAACTGAAGACTTAGATATGCGTAACTGCGCATTGGGTGCCGCGCTTGGTCACTGTGGACCAAAAACGCATTCGAATGAACATTTCCAAGACTCTGTTGGAGCGGTTTAAGCGAAATGAGTCGGATTTTTTATGTCGATTAATAACTGTTAATGAAACTTGGATCCACTACTTCACTTCTGAGACGAAGGAATAGTCAAAACAGTGGATTGCAAAGGGTGAACCTGCTTCGAAGAAGGCGAAGACAGTTTCATCGACCGAGAAGGTGATGGCAATTTTTTGGGATAGTCGTGGAATCGTGTTCATCTACTATCCTAAAAAAGATAAAAAAATATCAGGAGTGTACTACGCATCATTAATTGACAAGCTGGAGGCAGAAATTGCGAAAAAAACGGCCGCATTTGAAGAAGAAAATGCTGTTCCATCAAGATGACGCACCGTTTCACACTTCGCCGTTCGCCAAGGCAAAAATTTACCAATCGGGATTCGAATTGATTGATCACCCACCGTATTCACCAGATTTGGTCCCCAGCAACTTTTTCCTGTTTCCTAGGCTCAAAGTTTGGCTCGGAGGATAGAGATTTTTATCAAAAGAGCAGGTCATCGCATCCGTAGAAGCCTATTTTGCAGAGCAAGACGACAACTATTATTTGCATGGATTAAAGGAGTGGGAGCATCGCTGGAAAAAGTGTATCGACTTAAAAAGAGACTATGAAAAATAAAATTGAATTTTTGACCGAAAAAAATACTTGTACCTATGTTAGGTTCAAAATTTTTCAGAGACGACACCCTCGTATATCTTTAATTATATTAATTCACATATATTTGCGGTCTGTTTTTAAGATTTCTCTGGTGAAAAAAATTTCGCTGAAATTATTTCACGTTTTGGAATATTTCAGCGAAATTGTTGAAAATTTGCTGAAATTTCACTGAAAATGAATTTTTCAGTTAGCATACTGAAAAATCGTTGAAACTGAACTGAAATTTCTCCGAAATTTTGTTGAAATTTCTCTGAAATTTTTGCTGAAATTTTGCTAAAAAGAATTTTGCAGCTAAAAATCGCTAAAATTAAAGTGAAATTTTTCTGAAATGCTGAAATTTTGCCGAAAAATGTTCCAAAACGTGGAATAATTTCAATGAAATTTTTCTAGGATTATAACTAATTATAACGATATGCTTGAGGCTGAGTACATTTAAATGATTTGAATCTGCTTTTTATTTAAGTCACGAATATAAAGCATATTTTAGCCCGAAGCGATCGAGTTTACAAATATGGTAAATATGATAAATATGGAATGGTATCCCAATATTACATCAATACAAAAAGTAATAGATGAATACATATAAATTGTATATATTTTTTCTTAATTATTCAAAACGATTCTGTATATCGACTATAATTGCATAGAAATCATAGAAATGGAATATCAGTCCGTATATTTTTAGTATTATAGATATAGCGCGATATTCCATAATACAATTAATGGCTGGTAAATCAAACGTAAAAAATGAAAAGAGTTCCATGTGCCTATAATTTCAATATTTTGAATAAAGATCATAAATTATTTCAAATATATTCTAGAATGTTAGAGAGAAGTATCATTAAAATATAAAATATTATCGCAAAAGGAGTATATACAAATTATTTAATTTATATTTTGAAAGACAGTCATTTTCAGAGCGCATCTAAAATGATTTGTCTATAGACATGAAAAATGTATTCGTATAGAATTTATAAGAAAATTGTTCAGAAATTTCAGAGATTGAAATATATCTGTGTATGAATGACAATTTTTAATTATATGAGCATACACAGTTCCTCGTGTTGATTAATTAATTCACTTTAATCATGAATAATGAAATGAAAAATGCTTATGCGCTAGTTCAATTCAAATATTACAATAAATTCAATAGCAAGATATTTTTGTAACACATCAAAGGTTTGTTGATCTGTATTTACAAAAATTGACAATAACTGTAAACAAGTCTCAACTTTCATACCATTACTTCCATGGGCGTATCGTGGAATTCTTTTCGGGGGAGGGTTTTTTATCAACCCAGGGATGTACCATGCGTCAATCGTACTAAGAATAAAAAAAAGAGAAGATTTTGCTATTATACTGAAAAGAACGTCACTACATCAATTTTGTTGTTGTGACATTTACAACAATTTTTAACGTTAATGAATTCCATTTGGATATTTTTACAGCTTTTAATGTCTTCTTGTACCTCATTTTGAAGAAGAAAAATGTTACGTTTTGTACCTCATGTAACTTTTACTTATTTTTTTAAAGACTTTTTTTAAAGAAAGACAATACAGCTACAGGCAAAATGTTTAATTCTTTAATATTGTTATTGTATGTTCGAACTAACAGAAGTATTAAAAAATTTTTATGTAACAGCAAAAAACTCACACAAAGTCAAAAATAAAGTTGTATGTGTTTTACAATTAAAAATGAAAGAGAAATTTCGATAATGTACATCGCTAATTGGCCAATTCAAAATAAAATATTCTCATTAGTAAAGTGAAAAATTATTAGGCACCGACCGATGTGAGTGGATGTGTGCTATCAGGATGTGTGCTAACGAAGACTCAAAATGAAATACTAAAAAATTTCGAGGGGGGTTTGGACCCCCAAAACCCGCCCCCCTCCTGGATACGCCCATGATTACTTCGTTATTTACGTAATTGCAGTTCTCTGCATGACAACGATAAAATCATGTATTTTTTAACATGTGACAGCGGTGTAAATTTCTATAGACTGTAAAGCGTTTACTGAAATATGTATGTCCAAGTGATGTTATAAAAATTACAGAAGCTATTTTATATCTATATTATATTTTTTATTAATTCCTTCTCTTGTTGAGAATTCATTTGCTTAATTACACAGAATAATTTCATTACCTTGCGTTTTATAACTTATTTAATATATTATAATGACTATGCATCTTTGTATAGGATATTAGTTCAAATCATATAATTGTTACTATATTTATATCATTAGCAGACATAATTAAATTAACACTGATATAGAAATTCAATGTGTCATAACCATATATTGTATCATTGTCCATATATTGTTTATGAAATTTTATTTTGTTCAAGTTTTATAAATTACTTTCTATCTCTAAATTATTGAAAGAAATTATTAAGACACAAGAAAATTATATATACATGACAATAAATATGTAGTATATTTCTTTCGAATATATAGTTAACCCAGATAATAAAGTTTACATAATTTGCAAATTATGAATTAAATGTCTGTTTTGCCAATATATAATTATCAATTGTTTAAAACAATCATTATCTCTTGACCAATGTATAATTATTAAATGATAATAATTAATATTAATTATTAAAATAATTAATTAATTATTAAAATAATTAATTAATTATTAACATAATTATAATTATTACTTATTTTAATTATTATTATCAAATGTGTCTTAGATAATAAATGTATACTTCCAAATAAATCATTTAAAATGTTGAAATGCGTTTCATAGTATTTAATTTATTTTAGAATGGACATGAATTATTTTATATCGATTTCATACAACATCGGATTTACAAGAAATTATTATATTGTCCATATTTCTAGATTTACAATGACTATAAATTCGTCGAAAGCACATTCCACTTGATTATAAATGTAAACATTAAAAGAAATCAGTACAAAAAGGAATATTCAAGTGTTAATATACAATGTTGAAAATATCTTGCATGTGCGTTTACAATAATTTCAATACATCTACACGTTTCGTTATTATAGTTTCTATATCGGAACATAAAGTGATGAACATAAAATAAAATAAAATATAATACTCGGTATATGAGCAACTAGAGCTTACTGAACAAATTAATAAATGTAGATGTGCACAAGTATAAAACTGTTGTCAATCAACCAATTGATCGAATAGAAATGCTAAGTAACTGCGCGTCTCGCGCGCAGATTTTTAATAATTACATAAATAGTACGTTACAAATTATTAAAAATATATAGACTTTTTTCTCTCGTATATGCAAGCCATCAGTTTAATATTCTTACTATTAGTTTTTCAGCTATAAACTTATACCATGCCAAACAAGTATTTTCTTGTAGTGGCTCTATATTCTTACAGCATTCTCATCATTTAACTATTTATTAATCCGAAAACATGAGAATATTCCTAATTACGAGAATTTATGGCAATAATTTTTACATACTTTTTCTTACTCATTAATATAAATTTTGTTAATATAAACTGTAGATACACACATGTGTAGTGTGACACCCGTGCCAAGTAATTAGCTTTTATTTAGTCATATCAAATACATATTTGATATATTCATGTACTTTGATGTAAAATCATGCTGCGACATACATAATTGTATCCCTAAACAAAGAATCTACAGACCTTTTACTCTGTAGAAGTATGTCGTTAATATTTGGAGCATTAATTTTATCTTATGTTTGCTATTCATAAAATGATGTTTTCATGTTTTACAGACAAAATATCTATATTTTATCTATGTGTATAATGCTTAATCAAGACTTTAAAATACAGCTTTCAAAGTTATACAATATCGGAAATAGTGCATTGTGCATCCATCTGCGGATATCATGCAATTAATACGAAAAATATTATAGTGCATCATTCATTTTCTTTTTCTCTCTTTCTCTAAAAGTTTATCTAAAAGTTTATATCAAATGCCAAACTATACATAAACTCTTTACTCAATGGACCCCGGAAATAAAATATATTTCCCTGTATACGAGGTTTACAAATCGCGCATGATAAAACGAAGGCGACTATTCAAAAAGACACGATGTGGTCCTTAAAAATTTGCTAAGAGTTGTTGGAATGTAGAGGAATTACAAATTTAGGTCCAAACGGTGATCTAAACTTGATGCCAACGTCAGAATATACCTTGTTTGGCAACGCGAGATTGCATAAATATAATCTGCCGTTGTCGACGCTGTGCGACAACGGTAGGGCACCCAACAGGCTGAATTTACTGAGTATGCCTGGTGTACCCGTCGCTGGAGGTTCGATAGATAGTACTGGCGCCCGATTACTGTTTGCCCATCTCGCTATTGGAGTGATCATTCTAGGTGAATCTTCGTCGCAGAGCGCTACAAGTATCAGATCCACCAATGATGGCAGATTCTTGACTTTGGTTTCTACCTTGTTGTCTGTTAGCCTGTATAACGACAATTCTTGCAGAAGAAATACGTCTTCTGCATTCTCCACGAACACGATTGTTGTAACACCGTGAGCAGCCAATTGTCGAGCACAGTTGATTCCTGCAGCGCCGGAACGATGTGGTCCACATAGCACGACCACGGTGGGCCATTGATGCGCATTATTCGGATTCAATCGATGACTTCCACCCAATAACTGTAAGGTGAGTTCAGCACCGGCGCGACCGAGCAATTCCACCTATCAAAGAAAGCCAGAATTATTAAATACAATAGAATTAAAATAAAATTAAATTTAAAAAATTGAATAAAAATAGCTTACTTTGTTAGTGCGTATATTTGAACGAATAAATGAAAACATGATAAGTCATATCTTGAAAATCCTCTTATTTAATTATTTAATTTTTAACTTTAATTATTTTGGATATAAATATATATATATAATTAGAATAAATATGTTCCATCAA